GAACCGGCTCAGACCAGCGGGTAGCTGGCTGCCGTGGCGATGCCGCAGTGGTTCTTCCGGTCCTTTGCCATGTAGATGTAGCCCTTATCGCCCCAGTTCTCACTCCAGCTGCAGAGAAACAGAACCGGGTTAAAGGAACCGGGACCAGAGGGTTCTGGGTTGGAGTCAGAACCCTAACCCTAACCATAACCCTATCCCTGTTCAACCAGAGAGAATTATGGTGGGAAATGGATTTTAAAAAGTTTGGAAACGTCCTCCAGACGTTCATAAAACCATCCAGGGGGACCCCGCCTCTCCCCATTGGCTACTGGGATAGGCTCCGCCCCCCACCCCCATTAGGGAATAAGGGGTTAGGATAATGGACCCAGATTTGAACCCATCCTGTCATTAGATGAGTGTTTTTCAACCACTGTGCCTCGGTACACTAGTGTGCTGTAGAAAATCATCCTATTTCACCTAATTGGTCTAAAAAGATTATTTGATATGGAATTAATTATCTGCAAATAATATTCCATTTTTGAGTGTGTGTGCTGTTCTAGTGACTGGTGGAGTAATCATGTAATAATTCCTTATGACTAGATTTTGTACATAATTTTGTATAATAAAGTGGACATGTTAAGTACAATTTGAAAGAAGAAATATAAAATACGATAAAAATACATTTTTGTGTTGATTTGATTCCTATTCAAGACACTTAAGATAAAATAAGAATAACTATAGTGTTACTATAGGCGGCTACAGATTTGTTTGACATTTTTGGTTGGTGGTGTGCCTCGAGATTTTTTCAATGAAAAAATGTACCTTGGCGCAAAAAAGGTTGAAAAACACTGGATTAGGGGATAGGGGGGAGGATGATTGGATAATGGATTAGGGGGGTTGGGGGGGTCTCCAGGTGAGCCTCACCTGTTCTTAACGATCCAGAACTTCTTCCCGTCCACGTCTTCGCCCTCGAACCCGTAACCGACCACCAGCACGCCGTGGTCCAGCTCCTCAGAGCTGCACTCCTTCTCAAAGTAGATCCCTAAAAACAACAAAACACACCGGGGTCAAAGGTCAAGGGTCAGACCAAACCAAAACCGGCCTAAAACAGCCATAAAACAGCCCTAAAACGAACCCAAACTGCCCTAAAACGAACCCAAACGGTCCTAAAACGGCCTTAAAACTGACCTAAAACGGACTCTCTTGTAGGGTTGTCAAAAGTATCGATACTCGAAAAAGTATTGATACTAAAATGTTGTATCCAGATACGATACTCATTTTCAAAAATATCGATACCCCCCCTTCTCTCTGATTTATTTATTTACGTTGTTTATGATCATTATCAAAACGTTAGCCTTGCTAGCTGCGGCTAATGGCTAATAATAACATGCTACCATTAATCAAGTACATATCCAACTCCCCCACATCCAAGTCGGCCATTTTGATTAGGTCACCAATAGGAAGATCCCAGGCAAGAAAATCCTAATTAGTTCATGGCAGTATAGACATTAATTTAAAAATAGTGAAATGAATCTTTCAAACACTGAATTAAACTCTATGCATAATATTATGTTAAAATAGTGGATGTTAAATAGGTTTGTACAATAAGTCCAAACAAGTTTAACCAAAAAATATTTATTTCTCACAATTATGAAGGGTCAGGGTTAGGTTTAGGGTTAGGGTCATTAATGTGGGCCACCATAACATCAGTAACAGGTCAGTTTGAAATGAAAGACACAATTCATTTAAATTTTGGGGTCTTTGTTTTTATCCTTGTGGTATCGAAAATGGTATTGAATATTTTCCTGAGTACCGGTATCGAGTTGAACATTTTATTATCGTGACAACCCTTCTCTTTTGTTCCGTTTCTGGTCTTTTTCCCCCCTTTTCTTTTTTTACCTGACTGGTAGAACTGGAAGGACTCGTGCCCGGCGTCTATCGCCACGGAAACGGGCCCCACGGCGGCCACGGCCTTCATCAGGGCGCGTTCTTTACCACTCGGCACGTCCACAAAGCCCGTGTCGTTAGCCGCGCTGCTCTGGGGGTCGTAGTGGCAGGGCTGGTCGTCCTGGGGGGGAAATAAATAAATAAATAAATAAATAAATAAATAAATAAA